GAAACATACTGCTTTTGGCTTTGTATTAGACTCATTCTCCCACAGGTGTTTCAGGATAAGCAATTAACACATTTTACCACTTCAGATAGATTGCAGGTGTTACGGAACCTGTCTGAGTGCCTCTCCCAGGAGAGAAGGAGACCTGTTTTGCCAAAATGAAGCATGGTACTGTTTAACAGAATTGTTTGTTCTTTTTTTCTTTTTGTGTGTATGCATTTATACGAGACCCATCTACAAAAGTTTTTCTATTGCCAGGCATCCTCTCCCCTCTTCTGTATATGATTCTTCTTGCCTTTGCCTAGTAATGTTATTAGTTTATTCCTCTCCTGTGACTGATCATTGCTGTATCAATTCATCCACTGTGTGACGTATTGTTGGGAATCTGAATTTAGCAACATCGGGTCAATGTTGCAGTATTTTAATAACAGACTCTTATTTCTCTATTAGGCTCTGCCTCTTTCTGACAGGCAGATATTGATTTGTTCCTGTATCTTCAGGTAAGTAGTTCACAAGGCAAGAGGAAGCATTGTGAATTCCCAGATTTTACTATTAACATGACGTAAAGTCATGATTTTATTAATGACACGGAGGCGAGTATTAGGCTATCTCTTTCTTACTTTATTCCTCAGCAGCAAAGAGAAATATAACTGAAAGAGAAAAATATGTAGAATATAAGCAATATATAACAGATACAACCATATCTGCCTAGTAACAGGGCAGCCAATCAGTCTCTAGGAACAGTCCATAAATCTCTATCCTTGTACTTCCACTTCCTCTTCTTTGCCTTCCGAACCGAAGACCCAAAGCAAACATCCAAGCAGTAACTAAGAAACGTCAAACCGGTAGACATCCACAGAACGAAATCAAGCTGTAAAACAAAGAAACAGGTGGTAAACTCCAAACTTAGGAACTGAGTGTAACATATCGAATATACGAGACCTGCAAATAGAGAGCATCATAATCAAAATACCATGTACAAATGTCACACTCTACAACACCATATACTCAATACAAGTAACACATGTGCACTTACCGTGAGATAAGACGAACCCCCCGATTGAACCATAAGCGAAAACCAGACCCAGACCCACGGGAGGGTGGGTGGGAATAATACTCGCCTCCGTGTCATTAATAAAATCATGACTTTACGTCATACTAATAGTAAAATCTGGGAATTTTATTAATGACACGGAGGCTCCTATTATGCTAGTTTAAAGCTGAGCCACAACCAACGAAGAAACATGTTCAATCGGGTGGAAGTAAAAATCAGGGAACGTAGATTCCTTAGACCTGCCGCTTTCAAGATATCGTCTAGGCGACATCCTATCGTAGAAGCCATTGATGCCATGGCACCCCTAACTGAATGAGCCGAAAAAAACGAAGTATCGATTCCCGCAGCAGAAAGGAGATCTTTAACCCAGCGGGCAAGCGTCGGCGACGAGACCGGTAGAAACGGTGCTCTCAAGGAAATAAAGAGTGGAGGCAAGTCAGCTGACCTCAACAGCCGAGTACGATCCAAATAAACCTGGAGACAAGCCACAGGACACAAAGCAGGTCTGATGGAGCATCTAGGATAGTCCACCGACTTGGAAGCCGACTTAGTCCTCCTTGAGATATTAAACGACACACCTCCGGGGGTGAACGAGACCGCGTTCCAGTCCAGAGCCCTGATGTCCGATACCCTCTTGCACGAGAGTAGACACAGAAGCATGACCAGTTTCCATGATAACTGTTTGAGTGTCAAGTCCTCATTACAGGGCCAGGAGTCCAAGAATCCAAGGACAACGTTAACATCCCAAAACGATGAGTATCTAGACCTTGGAGGTCTAGCAAAACGGATACCTTTCAACAAGCGGCACACAATAGGATGTTGTCCAATCGGAGATCCGTCGATCCCTTGGTGTCGGGCCGAAATGGCTGATCTATAAACATTAAGGGTACGATAAGCCAAACCAGAATCGAAACGTTCCGTCAGGAAACCAAGCAGCGCATTCAGAGGGGCAGAAAGTGGATCCAGCAATCTTCCCAAGCACCAGCCAGACCACACGCGCCATGCGGTCTTGTAAGCCGCTCTGGTACCTGGTGCCCAGGCATTCTCCAAGAGTCGAGCAGTCGTCTGCGAAACGTCCGTGACACCCCAGGGTCTCCCGAGATTAACCAAGCCGTGAGTTGGAGTAAGTTCTGATCCACCAATTCGTGCAATTTCTCATCCGGATCCAGAAGCACATCCGGCCTCATTTCGATTATTCGTGGGAAATCTATGGCCATCTCCATAAGGCGGGGAAACCACGGTTGAGAGTGCCAGAGCGGAGCAACCATTACTATCGTGCAATCCTGTCCGGTCGAGTACGCCAGTGTCCAGGATATCAGGTTCAATGGTGGGAACGCATAATGGCGTCCCAGCGGCCACGTCTGCAAGAACGCGTCCACCGCAGTGGCCGGTGTCCGGTCTCCAACTGAAGTACTGGGGTAGTTGGGTGTTCAACCTGGACGCGAACAAATCCAGGTGAAGTGGACCCCATAACCGTTCTATCCTTTGAAAGGTCGAGGATAGCAAGTGCCAATCTCCTGAATCCTTCAGGTAGCGCGAGTTCCAATCCGCACACTCGTTGTCCAGACCCGGAATGTGTTCGGTCGTAACCGATACAGCGTTGTGTAGGCAATACTGCCAGAAATCCTTTGCCAAGTTCGCCAACTGCTTCGATTTTGTCCCCCCAAGGTGGTTTATGTACCTGACCACGGACACATTGTCCATACGTAGGAGGACGCAGCAATTTCCCTGCGTCGGAGATAGACTCCGAATGGCGAACGAACCTGCCAGAAGTTCCAGGCAATTTATGTGCAGAGCCGATTCGATCTCTGACCATCTTCCACTGGTGGAGACACCGCCACAGCGAGCGCCCCAGCCATGCAGGCTTGCATCCGACTTTATTATCATGTCCGGCGCGGAGCCGAAGATCGCCCGGCCGTTCCAGGCCTCCATGTGGTCCAACCACCACCTTAGTTCGTCTTTGGAGTCCCCGTCCAGGGTCAACACGCTCTCGTACGAGCCCCCTGAGCGAAGATGGGACCCTTTCAAACGTTGTAGGGCTCGATAATGCAGTGGGCCCGGAAATATTGCCTGAATCGATGAGGCCAACAGGCCGATCACTCTCGCCAATTGCCGGACGGAGAGAGAGGTGGCTCACAGCGCCCGTCGTATCTCCTTTTTCATCGATCGGAGTTTTGCCTGCGGGAGGAACAGAAACTGGGTGACTGAATCGACTTCAAAGCCCAGAAACTCTATCCTTTGTACCGGGGTCACAATGGATTTTTCCCAGTTTACGAGGAAACCCAGTCCCTCCAGGAGATTCACCGTCCATCCTAGGTGCCTGAGAAGTTGCTAGGGGGATGAAGACATAATCAGTATGTCGTCCAGGTAGATAATCATGCGGACCCCTCGAGCTCTGAGGAAGGCCACCACGTGCTTCATCACTTTCGTGAAACACCACGGAGCTGAAGATAGACCGAACGGCAGACATGTAAACCGCCATCGACGACCTTGCCACGTAAAGTGCAATAAGTCCCAATGCTCTTCTGCCATGGGTATAGTCAAGTAGGCATCTTTGAGGTCTAATTTGACCATCCAGTCTCCCTTACGGAGCAGGTCCCGGAAACAATGAGCGCCCTCCATCTTGAAGTGATGGTAACGGAGGAAAAAATTGAGGTGTTTGAGGTTTATCACCGGACGTACGCCACCGCCTTTCTTGGCGACAAGAAACAAGTTGCTTAGAAATCCCGGGTGTCCGTAGGGGATTTCCTGAATAGCCCGTTTGGCAGACAGTTCCGCGATCTCTGCGGTAATCAATTCGGACTGCTCTGCTGGCAGTTTCAGTTCCTGTGGGATAAACGTCTGGACAGGGGGAGACAATAAATCCAGGCGGAAACCCCTGACCGCATTGAGAACCCAAACATCTGTGGTGATCATACCCCACACATCGAGAAACAACGGCAATCTGCCCCCTACACTCGTTCTGCAAAACACACGTTTTGGTGTACTCACCGCAAGGGCGTCTGTATGAGGGTTGTCCACGACCTCCCCGACTCTGCCATGGTCTCCCCCGCGAGGGAAAAAAGGGCGTTGGCTTATAGTCTTGGTAGGTCCGGGGGGCCAAAAACCCTCTTCAGGTTAGACTGCGCCTTATCGAGCGCGGTAAAGGTACGAACAAAGGAGCCTAAATCCTTAACAAAACATTCTCCGAAGAGCATACCTTTGGCCGAAGCACCAGGCTTCTTCACTGCCAGGTTAACTAACTTGGGCTCAATTTTGAGCAGAATCGCCTTGCGGCGTTCAGCCGACATGGCTGTGTTTGCGTTGCCGAGAAGGCAAATCAACCTCTGGACCCACCCAATCGCCTCATCAAAGTCAATAGGCTTCGTTCCAGCCTTAGCTGCTTCCAAAAGCTCATAAAGCTTGGCAGTGGGGCCCAGGGTATCCAAGATCTTGTCTTGGCAATTATGCAGCGAAAACTCCAGTCCTTTCCGGGGCTTCCAACCCGTCTTAGTTAGGAACTGAGAAATCTGGGGGTCAACCTCTGGCGTCTTGCACGCCGCATCAGGCACCGAAGGCCTTGGGCACTCGGCCCTCAGTTTACTGCGCCCCTCCTTGGAAAGGGGGGTACACATACGAAGCGCCAGATAATTGGCAATATGCGCGGGCGGGTCCCATTCCGCCGAGCGGGGATGGCGAAGGTCATCGGGATTGAACAGGGGGTAACCCTGAGGATCACAGATGTCCTGCCCCTCACTCGGAGGAAGCGCCGAAGCGTCGAACTCCGCCTCATCGCCGGAAACCCCTTCCTCATAGGAGGCGTAATCAGGGGGATCCGAGTCCGACTCTCCAGTTTGATTGGTATCCGATCCATCATCATCACGGGCACGTGCCCGTTTCCATTTTCTGGCCGATTTTGTCCGGCCAGCGGCTCTCTTGCGCGGAAACGCGCCATCTTGGACGGCCATAGGCACGTCAGTCAGGGCAGGTATCACCTGCGTCACATCTGGAGAGACATGTTTAAATTTTGCTTGTGCCTTGCGACCCGTCTGAGGCTGCAGCGCAGGCAGGGGAGCAGGCAACACGGCAGGGCCCAAAGGCTGCGACAGCGCCTGCTGAATAGTGTGAGAGAGGGACGAAGACACGGTCCCCATGGCCGAAGCCAGGGCCTTCTGCATGGTGGAATCAAAAAGGGCCTGGAACTCCTGTGAGGGAGTAAGGCCTATATCCTCTGTAATAGGGGTCTGAGAGGAGTCCATAATGGGGTAACTGGGACTACCAGAACCCTCACCCCTAGCCTGCATAATTAACAAAGCCAAAGTACTGCCCCTTTAAATATCAGACACAGGAGCAGAGCAAAAAATGTAAAACCTAAATTAACTTAGAACAGATGACAGTAAAATAAACCTACACAGTAGAGGGGTTGAGTAACCCACCAGGAAAACAAAATATATACACAATACTTGCACACAATAAGGGAGAGGTAAAAGGGAGCCGATCCAGCCGCATGGAACCCGAGGGGAAGATGGCCGCCGCAGCAGAACGCGCCGTGGCCGTTTCCAGGCTCCTCCCCCGCCAATGGCCGGGGAGCGCGACCACACACGCGGCCGGCACTCCCTTGCACCAGCGGGAGATCGGGTCGGCAGATAAGCGCGGCCGCGTGTAGGGAACCGGGGAGCACAGGGCTCCAGAATGAACCTCCCCTGCTAGCCGCGAACCCTGTCTGAAAGGGGGAACGGCCAGACAGACAGGGGAAGCGGCGGGCAAACGCAGGGGAGGCAGAAATATGAAACCAAAAGAGGTTCACAAAATCATAAAAATACAGACATAAAACCTGCCAATAAGGCAAATAAAAAACAATTAGCAATCAGAAAAGTGATAACAGAAAATAACACAGGTAATATAACCTAGCAAAAACCCATCAATCAAAACAATGTAGGAGAGAAAAATTATAGCAAAGAAAGAGGTACAAGGATAGAGATTTATGGACTGTTCCTAGAGACTGATTGGCTGCCCTGTTACTAGGCAGATATGGTTGTATCTGTTATATATTGCTTATATTCTACATATTTTTCTCTTTCAGTTATATTTCTCTTTGCTGCTGAGGAATAAAGTAAGAAAGAGATAGCCTAATACTCGCCTCCGTGTCATTAATAAAATCGTATTTAATAAATACATCCAGTAAGTAGTAGGATTCTCAGTGTAATTCTCCCTGTGTTTAATAGCATGGGGTGTCCGTTCTCATCCAACATTATCTGTTTGTTCCAGTATGATCTCTGGAAGTTATACCTTTGTCAAGGTTCTGATTTGATGATGTCAGTTTGGTTTTACATTTTTATATCACAATGACATTTTCCTTCTCTAGCTTATGCTATCAAGGCCTTAATTCCTATCTGACTCTATATCTATTCAGGATATTTCAGACATTGAATGACAGGAGGTTGCTGACCTTGCAGCCGCTAGGGGAAATAATCTTGTCTGAGCAGATTTTATGACAATTTCCTATTGATTCTTGTTTGGCTTTGAAAAGTCTTCTAAGATTTATACAGCCCAATAATGGTTTTATAGCTATTAGCTGTTTTTGAACTCTGTCCCTCCCTCTATATATTCAGCTTGGGTATTCCCCATGAGTAAATGCTGCCATGAATAATGGTCAGGAAAGTGGAAAATTGTTCCATACTTATCGTAATTTTCTTTTCCTGATCATTATTCATGGCAGCATTACGTTCCCACCCATATACTATAAGAGTTGTGAAGCTAGTTACAAAGACTGCCTGAAAGGGAAGGGGGAGGATCTATTTATACCGGTTTCAAAGTTCAATTTCCTGTCCTTTCTGCTGTAAGGGGAGGAGCTAACCCATGAGTAAATGCTGCCATGAATAATTATCAGGAAAAGAAAATTACGGTAAGTATGGAACAATTTTCCACTATAATAATCAGTAAATAATAATAATAATAATAATCAGTATATAATAATCAGTAAATAATAATCAGTAAATAATAATAATAATCACTGTATAATAATCAGTATATAATAATTACTATATAATCAGTATATAATAATCAGTATATAATAATTACTATATAATCAGTGTATAATAATCAGTAAATAATAATCAGCATAATCAGTATAGCATAATCAGTAAATAATAATCAGTATATAATAATCAGTATATAATAATTACTATATAATCAGTAAATAATAATCAGTATATAATAATCAGTATATAATAATTACTATATAATCAGTAAATAATAATCAGTATAAAATAATCAGTATATAATAATTACTATATAATCAGTGTATAATAATCAGTAAATAATAATCACTGTATAATAATCAGTATATAATAATTACTATATAATCAGTATATAATAATCAGTATATAATAATTACTATATAATCAGTGTATAATAATCAGTAAATAATAATCAGCATAATCAGTATAGCATAATCAGTAAATAATAATCAGTATATAATAATCAGTATATAATAATTACTATATAATCAGTAAATAATAATCAGTATATAATAATCAGTATATAATAATTACTATATAATCAGTAAATAATAATCAGTATAAAATAATCAGTATATAATAATTACTATATAATCAGTGTATAATAATCAGTAAATAATAATCACTGTATAATAATCAGTATATAATAATTACTATATAATCAGTATATAATAATCAGTATATAATAATTACTATATAATAATCAGTAAAAACTGTTGCGGCTTAATGACAAAGATTATGATCATGTGACCCAGGTCTAATCATGTGACTCGAAACTGGTCATATGACTGGCAGCAGGCTCAGAGCTGACCTAAGCAGGTACCTGTACGTCCTGCGTCATTACGCAAATCTCCCGTCCGCCACTGCCCAATCACCTTCCGAGACCGGTTCCAGACAGCCAATAGGCATCTAGCTCCGGCTCCCCTCAGCCCATTCTCATCCAATGAGCGCCCAGCTCCGGCTCCCCTCAGCCCATTCTCATCCAATGAGCGCCCAGCTCCGGCTCCCCTCAACCCATTCTCTTCCAATGAGCGTGCAGCCCCGTCCCCCCTCAGCCAATGAGCGTGCAGCCCCGTCCCCCCTCATCCAATGAGCGTGCAGCTCGCTGTCAGTCAGAGTGCCGGGCTCGCTGAGGGATGCGGGGCCCCCGGCCATGGTGTACGCCGTGTTGCTGTCCGCGTTGGCGGGCTGCCTGCTCACGGTGCTCGTGCAGTGTTTGGTGGTGTACCGATGGCGGCGGTCGGAGCGGCCCCTCCGCCGAGCTCCCCCCGCTCCCCCTCCTCCCCCGGGGCGGGCTGTGCGGCCGGACGGCTCCCTGCGGGATTACCTGCGGGCTGCGGCCGGGAGCGGGGCCGGGGCTGGCGGTGGGGGTCCCCCGGGTGCGGCCCCCCCGGAGAGCTGCCATTTCCTGAACGCCATCTTCCTGTTTCTGTTCCGGGAGCTCCGGGACTCGGCGCTGCTCCGCCGCTGGCTGGCTAAGAAGATCCGGGTGGAGTTCGAGGAGCTGCTGCGGAGCCGCACGGCCGGCCGCCTGCTGGAGGGACTGAGCCTGCGGGATATCAGCCTGGGGGACTCGCTGCCCGTGTTCCGCTCCGTGCGGCCGCTGCCCGGGGGGGGAGGGGGAGCGGGGGGTACCGAGCAGCCAGCACCGCCGCACCCCCCCGAGCAGCACCCCCCGCCAGGCTCCGAGCCCCCTCCCCCACCCCCCGGCCCGGGCCCCGGCATTCTCCCCGAGGAGCTGAGCTTCGAGCTGGAGCTGGAGTACAATGGCGGCTTCCATCTGGCCATCGATGTGGACCTGGTGTTCGGAAAGTCGGCCTATCTCTTCGTCAAACTGTCCCGGGTGCTCGGCCGCCTCCGCCTGCACTTCAGCCGCCTGCCCTTCAGCCACTGGGCCTTCTGCTTCCTGGACGAACCGCTCATCGACTTCGAGGTACAGTCCGAGTTCGAGGGCCGGCCCATGCCGCAGCTCACCTCCATCATCGTCAACCAGCTGAAAAAGGTGATCAAGAGGAAGCACACCCTGCCGCACTACAAGATCAGGTACGACTATAACCACTGCGGGGGAGGGGGGGACTATAACCACTGCGGGGGGACTATAACCACTACGGGAGGGGGGGACTATAACCACTGCCACCATCACCCTGCCGCACTACAAGATCAGGTACGACTATAACCACTGCGGGGGAGGGGGGGACTATAACCACTGCGGGGGGACTATAACCACTACGGGAGGGGGGGACTATAACCACTGCCACCATCACCCTGCCGCACTACAAGATCAGGTACGACTATAACCACTGCGGGAGGGGGACTATAACCACTGCGGGGGGACTATAACCACTACGGGAGGGGGGGACTATAACCACTGCCACCATCACCCTGCCGCACTATAAGATCAGGTACGACTATAACCACTGCGGGAGGGGGGACTATAACCACTGCGGGGGGACTATAACCACTGCGGGAGGGGGGGACTATAACCACTGCCACCATCAGGTACGACTATAACCACTGCGGGGGGACTATAACCACTGTGGGGACTATAACCCCTGCCGCACTACAAGATCAGGTACCTCTATAACCACTGCGGGAGAGGGGGACTATAACCACTGCCACCATCTCCCTGCCGCACTACAAGATCAGGTACTACTATAACCACTGCGGGAGAGGGGGACTATAACCACTGCCACCATCACCCTGCCGCACTACAAGATCAGGTACTACTATAACCACTGCGGGAGAGGGGGACTATAACCACTGCGGGAGAGGGGGACTATAACCACTGCGGGAGAGGGGAACTATAACCACTGCCACCATCTCCCTGCCGCACTACAAGATCAGGTACGACTATAACCACTGCGGGGGAGGGGGACTATAACCACTGCGGGGGGGGACTATAACCACTGCCACCATCACCCTGCCGCACTACAAGATCAGGTACGACTATAACCACTGCGGGAGAGGGGGACTATAACCACTGCCACCATCACCCTGCTGCACTACAAGATCAGGTACTACTATAACCACTGCGGGGAGTGGGGACCATAAACCACCGCGGAGGGGGGACTATAACCACTGCGGGGAGTGGGGACCATAACCACTGGCGGGAGGGGACTATAAACCACTGCCACCATCACCCCGTCAGCACTACAAGATCAGGTACTACTCATAACCACTGCGGGGGGAC